GAAGTGTGCCTGTTTACAAACAGAAACAGCTGAAGTGTGCCTGTTTACAAACAGAAACAGCTGAAGTGTGCCTGTTTACAAACAGAAACAGCCAAAGTGTGCCTGTTTAAAGCAGCTTTAAATAACTCCACGTGTGGAACTGGGAGATTTATTTATTATTAATATATTTGTTGTTTTTGATCAGCTGATCGCATGTTTGTTGGAACAGAGAGGGACGTCTCGTCTTTTACATGTCAACGCAACATTTTAACGTGTTCACCGCACTTTCTGTTTCCACGCACACACCTGTGGACGGTCGAGTATGGCAGCCCTTTAAATCTCACTAACAGCACCAGAAGCCGCCGTGGAGCTTCACGCACCGCCCCGCAGCTCGTTGTGCGGGGCTCTTTGTCTCCATCAGAAGATGGAGTAACGGAGTTCCATCCAGCCCTCCACCCCCGCACAAACACGCACGTTTCCGAGCCACGCAGCCCGCACACGTCGCCTGCTTCCTCTCAGCAGCAGCGCGTGTTTTTGCTGGCATTCATTTTGTTTTTCCGCCCATCATCCTCCTCCTCCCCATCATCATCATCATCATCATCATCACGGACCGAGGAGAACCTTCTGCCGTGTTTACGCTTTCTCCCGCTTTTCCACGACGTTTCGTGCGGGACAGACCGAGGCTGAGCGTGCAGGAAGCACCGTAAACACGCCGTGACGCGGAAGGACCAGTTAAATCCCTCACGCACAATGCCAGCTCCGACACGACCCACGGCCGCTGCTTGGCACAAACACGACCCGCGGGGAGCCGCTGAAACACCCGGCGGCCCGGACCCCCCCGCTCCGGGCCGCAGACTGCCGCCGCACCTCCACAAACACGCCGGGGAGCACGCGCAGGGCCTCGGGCCGTGCTCCGTGCAGGCCTCGCCTCAGCCTCGGCCTCCAGTGAAGCGCCGCGGCGCCTCACACGCACCGCTCCCGCCATCCGCTTCGGGAAGCGTCTTACCCGGTCCGAGCGCTTCCATGGCCGAGGCCTCTCGCTCCGTCTCTGTCCCGGCCTGGCGGCTCCGTACCGACGCTGAAATTGGGGGCGGTATCTCGAAGCCTGGAGTGGATAAATTAAGAAAACGGAATAAAACTGCGCGGATGAAGCTCACACAGCGACCCGAGCCACCGCTGATGCTGCTGATTGGAGTGTGCGCATGCGCAGGTCAGGAGCGGTGGGTCTGGAGTACGCATGCGCAGGTCACCAACAGGTGGGTTTAACAGGTGAGCGAAGCGTTTCACATCACCGGCTCCCCAAAATGCTGCAGAGGATTCTCAGTCATCCAAATGATGCAGCTCTAAAATGGTTAAAAACAAGATCAGCTGGCTTCTACTGAGAAGATGAAACGTTTCTCTGACGGGTGGTCTCTTCCAACTGGCTCCCAAAACACGAGACCACCCTTTGCTGGTTAAAGTCAACCAATTCAGTTCATTGCAGTTTATTTCTATAGCATAGCATTCTATATACATCAGAAGTCATCTCAGGGACTGAACAGAAACATTCATCTATAAAATAATAATTGAACAGAAACATTCATCTATAAAACAATAATTTAACAGAAACATTCAT